TTTTTGGGGGGGGGGGTGAGATCCTAGAGAGTGATGGTCATATACTTACTGTACACTAGAGAATACCAAAAAACACTTGTTTTCAATTTAAGTTTTTCATGGGATATTGTTAAAGACGAATTACAAACTCACTTTAGTAACGCTCGATATGGTTCCATTGCTAAAGTTTCCAGGAAAATTCCATATTTTTGGGGGGGTGTATACTCTAGTAGAGTAATGGGCATCGATAGTAATGCAACATGGGAATTGTTCTTGAACAAAGCAAGTCCCTTGGGATTACTTGAAGTGTACATTGCAGATACTAGGGGTGTTCATATTTAGGTCTGGACCGAAAAAACCGACCAAACCGGACTGTTAGGTCCAGACCGAAACCGGACTGAACTAATATCGGGTCGGTCTTCGGTCCGGAATATTTATGATTTCGGGTTTCGGTCCGGTCCGGTCCATACCCGATTACCATTCGGTCTGGACCGAGAGACCGAAAAAACCTATTACCAGCTAATATCCACAACCCTATCCTATCCATTCATTCCCTTCTCTCTGGTCACGTTTCTCCCTCTCACTCAAAAGTCATCTACAGTACTTTGATTCTTCAAATTGAATCGACAAAAAGGATAGTAGCGTTATGAAATTCCACAATCTCAATCTTCTTCTTCTTCATCTTCTCCACCTAGTTGATTCGCACCTTCCTCCATCTTCTCAACCCGTCACCAATTTTGGCAGCTTTCATCGATTAGCCAGTCGCCACCACACTCATCTTCTCCGACCTCCACCAGTGTCGGCAATCACTGCCGATTCCCCACAATCCACTTCCACCGGATGCCTTTCCTCTCTTACTTGATAGTCGATTCACAGGTTAGAAAGTTTTCAATTTTATTTTTGAATAAATCACCCAATTTTTTTTAAAGGTTTGTTCTATTAAGGCTAAATAATAGACAAAAAAGCATGCTACATCAAGGATGTAATCCCTTTTCTCCTCTCCAGTTTGTAATCCAAGGATCGTTTTTTTTGTAAAATTGTATGCTGTACTTTTTTATACAATTGAATGATGAAGTTTTATCAGTTTGATATAATTGCATCTCTAATTCCCTATGATGATTTGTGAGGAATTATTATTTTTGGTTCAATTTTGGAAGGAATCTAAATAAGAAATAAAATCCAAGTTACCGTAATTTTTTTAATATACAATTGCATGATGAAGTTTTTTCAGTTTATAACAAATGCATCTCTAATTTCCCATGATGATTCATTGGTTTGTGATGAACTGTATTTTGTTTGGGTATAATTAGTGTTTCTTACTTGGTAAAACATTAAAAAATTCAGTTCTAAAAAGTAAAAGATTTAGTACAGTTCGGTCTTTTCGGTCTATACCGGTCCGGTCGGAGGGTTTTCGGTTCGGTCCGGTCTAAAACCGAACAATTATAGGTCCAGTCTTCGGTCCGAATTTTTTCCCATTTTGAACTTCGGTCCGGTCCTGGACCAATGAACACCCCTAGCAGATACTACGGGAAGTCATGTTGTCGACCCTTCGACGCAACAAATTTCCACACAAAAAGAAAATGTGGGTACATCCACACGACGCAGTAGATCAGCCCGGGTGGTGCATTTAGAAGAGAACATTGACAATCCAGACACCGATAGCGATTCGAGTATGTTCCGTCTGACAATGAAGACACCGAGGATGCCTGGGTTAAACACACGGAGGAGCTTGCCACTCAAGGACAACGATCATACAAACTTGGGGCGTCTTTGGAAGAGGGTATGGTGTTTGCTAATTTACATGCTTTACAGGATGCAATCACCAAACACTCGATTGTGCAACATCGATTTTAGATAACTGAGTACAAGAAAAGAGCTTCATGGGCTTGTCGATGTTGGTACCATGCCAAACAACCAAGTTGTTTTTGGCGTGCTCAGTCCCAACAACTAAACTCTAGAGCATGGCGCTTGAAGCAGTTTAATGATGTTCATGGTTGTCATCCAGATTATTCCCACGGAGGCAACGACTACAATATGGAGTACATGTTCATTGCTCGATTTATCCTTGACAAAGTACAGGTTGACCCGGAGTACAAAGTGAAACTCATTCAACACGAATTACTTCAAGAATTCAATGTTGCATTTTCTTATAAAAAATGTTGGATGGGTTGAATCCATGCTTCAAAGATGTTACACGGCAGTTGGGAGGACTCTTACACGCACCTCCCGGTTATCTTATATAACCTTCAAAATGCATACCCATGCACAATCGTTGAGGTTGTTTACTCTTCACACCCTCCTAACCTCAATGTTACCCCGGACGAAGGACCGCATTTTAAGTATCCATTTTGGGCATTTCCAGCAGCCATTAATGGTTTACAGTATTGCTTACCTATGGTGACAGTGGACAGGACCCATTTGTACGGAAAGTACAAGGGTCACATATTTTTGGCGGTGGCGCTCAATGGAAATTGAGAACTTTTCCCGCTTGCATATGCTGTAGTTGAGGGGGAAACATCTGACAGTTGGGCATGGTTTTTTCGTCTTCTTATTCAAAGTGTTATTCGTTCGCATCGGGTCTGTGTAATTTCTGATAGGCATGCAGGCATTATCAATGCATATCGTGATCTCAGTCCCTTAGCTGAAGTTGCCAGAGATGACTTCATGATAATGCCTCCACACCACCCCACGCACCATTGTGCTAAAAAATATCTTAAACGCCACCCTTAAAACCCTTACACACACTCTCTTCTCTCTTAGAATGTCTCTAGTGCATGTCTAGAGATTCGGCGTGTTCCGCCGTGACATTTTATTTTGGTGTGGCGTTGAACTGGCTACATATTTAGAGTGAGTAGGAGTAAAGTACTAAAGAAAACCTTCCTCGTGGATAATGGCATAATGCTCTGGTCGGTGTTATAGTTACGTATGGTCTTAGAGCTATAAAATAAATAAAATGCTCCGTACCTGTTTAAAATTTTAGGTTTTGGTAAATATTTAGCCCTGACCACTCTAAATACGGAGCATTATTAAAACACATAGCTTTGTAGCGTATGTTATAGTTTATGTGACCCTAATTGTTGTATTGAATATAAATACTTTTATCTATGGTAAAAATTCTCGCTGAAGACTAAACATGTCTCTTACCCCCTCCATTTCCAAATAAATTTTATCTGAGTACTTTTTTTAGACATCTAAAAATAAACTTTACACTTTTCGAATTTCTAGTTTAAAAACAAATACTCCAAATCTCTGAAGTCTGAAGTCAAATTGTAGACATCATTGATTCTCAATCAGTCTTCCAAATAAATTTTAACAATTCATTTTTTACCTTTCACCAATTTTTCAACAATTTCTAAATATTTGTGACTGTTAAGTTTATTTGGGGGTGGAGGAAGTAAATAAAAATAAGAACCCTAATATTTTAATATCAAAATAAGATTTTTAATGCTAAAATATAAAGACAAAAGGTAGTACTCCATACTAAAATACCGACACAATGCTAATTTACAAGCATTTCACAATGCCACCATTTTTATTTCATTCTTGATCAACTCGTTTGCTGAATTTTCTAATGCCCTGTTTTTTTTAGATTGAAAAAATTAACTTTCAATTTCTTCTAACTCCTTTGAATTCCTTTTAACTTCTAGTTTCTTCCAACAATAATTTAAGAAAGATATTTATATTTGATGACTATACAATAAAATTATATATCTAAATTTATAATATACCATCGCAAACACGAATAATGATGAATTATTTTTTTTCCAAAATTAGAATTTTCGTACATATGATCATTTAATTGAGTAACTTTTTAACACTAAAACTCTTCCAACATTTTCCAACTCCTTGCAGGTTTTTTGAACTCCTTCCAATTTCTTCCAACATCCAACTCTGAAATTCCAAACCAAAAGAACAATGCCTAAATAGGAGGTAAAACATTAGAAATCTTATTTTGATATAAGTTTCTCAAATTAGTCTTATATAGATATATATACTCCCTCCGCCCCAAATATTTTTTTCTTTACGCAAAACTTACAATGTCAAAAGTTCTACAAAACAAGAAATGATAAGAATATTTTATTTTGTCAAATAATCAATAAAAACAGAAATAATAAAAAAAATTGTTGTGACTTTTAAATAGTGAACAAAGCAATTTCTTTTGAGAGGGAGAGAGCATTTCTTTTTATCTCTTTTCTTTTTTCAGTAGCCAGAATTTAATCTGTTGGTAAATATCGGAGAGAGGTAAAGGGTAAGACTAAGAGCAATGGCAATGGCGTGCCATTTTAGGCATGCTACCACATCCGCATATGCCTCGCACCACATCAGATCTGCCTCGCGTTCTTTGAGCGTTCGGGAAGTGAGGTAGCCTCAAGGCTGCCACGCTCTATTTTTTAATTTTTTAAATTAGGTTAAAAATTTAAAAAAATGACTGTGCAGTTTCTAATTGGTTGAATTGTGCCACATCAACATGTGACATTCCAATTCTTTATTTGCCATGGTCAATGATCTAAGCTTTTATAAGCTGTACTATTCCAACTTCACGGAAATTTATACTTATTTGTATTTTTTCATGGCCTAAATGATAAAATAAAATATTCTTATCACCACTTATTTTGTTAGACTTTTGATATACTACCTCCGTCCCACTATATTCGTCCACTTTTGACTTTTGGAACTGTTCATCTAAGCACTTTGACTGATCAAATTCTCTCAATTTGTAAGGCTAAATATAGTCATGTGTGATCTTGTTTGATTTGTCTTAACATATAATTTCTATAATTTTTTAATATATAAATTACAAGATAAAATGGATTAAAGAAGTGCATTGGATGGTGTGCAAAAATGAAAGTGGACAAATATAATGGGACGGAGGGAGTAGTTTTTAAATATGTAAGTTTTATTTTTTATTTCTATACCAAAATTTAAATAAAATAGATTTAAAAAATTTAGGTTTTTTCTTTGTGTTTCGCAACGGGAAGAAAGATATGGGACAGAGGGAGTATTTGAATTACCACGCAAACCATAATGTTGGTATGAATTGTTAAACAGCTACATATGTTACATCCAATACCGAAATTTACAGGTCGCTCATATAACACAAAAAAAATCTGTGAAAGAGATACAAGGCTGAATGGCATCCCATCAAAGGAGAGAAGTCTCGGGAGTAGATCGGCGGTATGGAAGGTGGTGGTCACATGGACGGTCAGGAATCCCCTCTTCAGCACGCCTTTCTTCAAACCACTTCACAACTCTTTTGCGGGGAAGATTTGTGACATGCACAATGCTACTAATCACGGCATTCTGCAAATTTATTTATGTTATTTTTCAAATGGGAGCATCACCATCATCTTTTTGTTATGCTTATAAAATTCTATCAAGTTACTGCACTATAAATTCATGCAAAACATGTCACAACCTTGACGAATAATGAGACAAATATTCCACTGCAATATTAGGCCTGGAAAGCATAGTCCCCTTTTATCAAACAGAACTTTATCTTAACAAATTATGTCTCCATGTAATGAGTTTTACAAACTAGGCATCACTTTTCGTGCAAATTAGGGAGTATTAATGTTTCAGGTCATATAGTGTGGCACAAATGTTAGACTGCATAAATGATTATAAGAAAAACTCTGTAAGTAGACATGGTTAGGTATAAAAGTACTCACTGTGGGTCTTCTCGATCGCCCATAAACTTTTTCAAGTGTTTCAAGTTGCTTTTTCTTAATTCTCTTCTTAGCAGACCAGTTCTGTTGCAAAACATGAACTGGCAATTCCTCGCTAGTGTCTGTTTTTACAGTGTCTTCAGCCTTCTCCAGAGGGATGCTCAGAGGTTCTGAGATTGTTGAAACAGGTTTATCCGGTAAGGCAGCACTCAGCAATACTAGATGTGGTGGAGGATCGCGTAGTATGCTGAGAACGAAAGCTCTGTCAAGACAGAGATCAGCTGCAAGGTTTTTTATCTGCATGTAAAGACTAAAGAGAGTTACGCATGGGGGAGTTAGCTTTTTGGGATAGTAATTACTCGGTAAATAGATGAAATTTTTTAGCTTTGCACACTTGCAACAACGACCTGTTCAAAGAAAATAAATACTTTTTTAAAGTGTATGCAGCATAGCACAAATTGTGATGTAGTATCAGTTGCAAAACAACACTTCCACCAATAATACAGCATATAGAGTATAGCAGATGGTTGCAAATTGCAATGATGGATGCTCATATAGGCTATAGCCTATAGGCTTGGGTTGTGGCCTAAAACTATGTCGACTACACCGTGGAATTGTGAGTGACTGTGTGTGGGACGCAGTGGTTTTCCAATTATGGTTTCATGTACGCATCGGACGCAACAGGCCAGAGAAAGAAGTAACTATAGTGTTAATGCCCTTATTCCCCTTAAATACTTTGATTGTGAAAACTTAGGGTATGGATTGATGGTTAAATGGAACACCTTATTTGAATCAACGCCTGTTGCATTTTTGCAAAATGTAGATGCCATATTTATGCCCTATCTTGAATACTCAAAAGAATTTCTGCTGCATGTACAGGTGACATATATATGTGATTTGGTTTTTTTCTTTCAACTTGGTGACAGCAAAAGGTGATAAGCCAGAAAAGGAATAGTGTATAATGAAGAAACTATGTGACTGAAGAGCAAACCATAAGTGAAGATGGTTTTGCCTTAACATAATTTTGAATGCAATTACCTTAAATATAAACTTAAACAAAGATAAGTGCATATGCAATAGAAACATACACTTGTCTTACGTCTGCCAGTTTTGAGGGCATAAGCCAGTCTCTTGAGTTGCCATTTTTTTAATTGTTCTGACCTTTCATCTTCATCATCTTCGTCGTCATCATTTTCAACTCCTTCAATATCATCATCATCTTTTTCTTCTTTTGCTCTGCCTTCACGTCTCGCTTCATGTTCAAGTTCCTGATTTTTCTCATCCAAAAATGAATTGATGTTTCCTAATAACTGATCATCCTTCAGAGCCTCGTCGAGGTCTCGTTCAAGATTTATGATATCTTCCTCTTTTATTTCACTGTCCTCACCCAAAGAGAGATCATCATTTTTCAGATCTTCTTCAAGCTGAATAAAAAGTGCCTCAAAAGCATCTTCATCCAAATCATCATCCACCTCATTGATTTTTAGAGACAAACTTTTCTGCATTAAACAAAACTCAAATATATAAGTTTGCAGTTGTTAGTATCAACTACCATGGTGGTATAGTTATATAAATACAACAATAATCACAGGGCACAAAGATTTGGGAGCACAAAAAAAACATGGCCTTTCAGCAATTTACAGCTACTTGCTTACCTAGTTACCTACTCCCTCCGTCCCCAAATATATTTCTCACTTTCCTTTTTCATCGTTAACAAAATAAACTTCCCACTTCTTTTCTTTCCTCAGCAACACTCCTTCCCTTGGTGAACCGTCTTGTGATTCATCTTTGTTTAGTTGCCAGCCAAAATGGACGATTTAAAATCCTTGCGAACCACTGCCAACATCCTCAAAAGGTTTCCTGCGTAGATTAAGCCCTAGCGAAGGGACTGCAACCTCGAGCAGTATGATTCCCAACTTCAACACCTCTTGGTAAGTACCAGGGAGCTAGCTCTATACACAGCTGGATTGGATGAACACTTCAATCTTGAGATGAACAGCCTCTAAATCTGTTTTTAGCCATTTATTTGGCATGGAAATACAAACATAAAGGCCAGGCACTGCCCAGCCTCTACCAAAGCCTAAGCCTCAAGCAGCATGCTCCATCACGGCCGCCAGCCCCTCCTGGTTTAAAAAACGGCCCGTTCATCAAATGTTGGCCCAGAGAGGAGATGGCAAACCATGGTGTGAAGGCTCTCTGTTCCAACTGTGACAATCGATACCATCAGGGCGATGAATGTAAAAGGCTGTCTTACCTGGAACACCAAGACGAGCTCGACCTTGTCGGTGACGTCACGGATGAGAAGCATACAGAATGCATCCCCATTACCTCATAGATTTGACCATTATCAGGGTACCCGAGTACTGCACATATTGATTCGGATGCATACGTAATTTCATTAACAACACCACGGACTATAGATTGGGGCTACAGTGTGTTCTTTCCTCAGGCGTATCGTTCGTTATTCTCAACAGAAACACCATGAGTATTGGGTGGATTGTTACAACGTCCCTAATTAAAACGCCAATAATTTTCATCAAAGTCCTCTAAGTCATCCTGCTGACCGGTTTTGAGGCATTTTGGGGATGAATCCCATTCAAAGATGAATCTATGACGATGTCACTCCTTTTACAAGGCTCCTGCGTCTGCTGATAGGGTGATACGGGGGCTAGCTCCGCCCTTTTACAACAATTTTATGACATTTTGACGAACCACCAATGCTGCCACAGTCCCGGTCATGGGACTACCCAATACAGCTGCTCCCAAGGGCAGCCCCAGTTGTCCAAGCTCACCGCTACCCAAAGATACAGAAAGATGAGATCAAACGCCAGAGTGCCGACTAATGTGCAAATCAAATCCACATTCTCCTACCCTGTGTCACTAATGTGCAAATCTGATGGGACCTAATGTTTGTGTGTCAACTCCAGGGAGCCCCTTTCTGAGCTTAAGTAACACTTTCCATCATTCAAGCGTGAGGACATGCTGTCATGGGGTGAGAAATGATGCATTCATGGCCTATGTGTCATAGTTGTGAATGGCGAGTGGCGGGCGGTTAAATGGGGAACATATATATAAATATATATATATATATATATATACACACATACATACATACATACATGTATGTATGTATGTATGTATGTATGTATATATACACACACACACACATATATACATACATACATACATACATACATACATACATACATACATACATATATATATATATATATATATATATCTTTTAGTCTTAAACATAGTGAATAATTATCTATAAGACTTTAAGATTGTAAAAAAAATATCTATAAGAATTTAATAATACTCATAGTGACGTGTGAATTTAATGAGACAATAAAAAACAAAAATAATAAGTGTCATGTGAATGGCAATAGTGTCAATGAACTATAGTCAAGAAAACAAGAGATTAAACAAAATCATATAATAATTACAATAAACATCATCATTAGACATTATAAGAGTTAAAAACATTATAAAAATAAATTAATTAATAAAAGTAAGAATAACCTAAGGAGGACTCTGAAGCGATAGGACGGCTGTGGCCTGGACTTCTATGCGACTTGTGTTGTGATTGAGTATGTGTGTGAGCAGCACAAGGAGGAAATTAATTTAGGCATCTCACAGAAAATAAGTCATAACCGAAGGAGGAAATCAATCTAGGCATCTCCAATGCTTCCGCCTTCAATGGGGCTCGAACTTGGTGAACTAAGTAAGCTTCCTACCACTCAAGCCAAGGGAGAATTTCTCCCAATATCTATCTTTATTTATGGTGTTGTTGCCATGGGATTCATACTTGTAATAACCTCTATTTAGCCTTGTGTTTTCAATTAATAAGAGAAACAAAAATTAATATAGAAAATGGTAGTTAAGGTTCTAATAAAACACCATCCCCGTGATATTCTCTTCATGTGTTTCTTTCCAGACCATCAATCTACTCCTTATTTGGATCTTCCACTTGTCGCAGGCAAATAGGGGAGCATCATAGGCACATGTAATTCCTCAGAAACTCTCCTTACCCCGTTCAACCGTCTTGTAACGAGGAGCTGCACCCAGGAACTCAATTGTCTACCCACATCTCACCCTCTAAGAGCTTACATCGGAGTGGTGAACATTTTGGGCATGCTTGGTTTGATTTAATTTCCATCCTTTTCATCACTCAAGTAAAAAGAAACACATCTCTTTTAATTTTAATCCCTCCGTACAAGGGATGCATCTAATATGCACAAGTTCCTTGCAACGAAACCCAACAAAAAACCCCTAAATCAATGAAAGTCTATTCAAAATTTGACACCATATCAACCAGGTCGTATCAAACAAATCTAGCAGAACTTCGATAAAAAAAAATTACTTAGCCCATAAATCATATTGCCGTGATATGAAAGCATTCCAATCCCTAAATTTTACAGATCAATAATACTTCATGATTTATATGGAGAATAGTATAATGTAAGTAATAAAAATAAAAATAATATTTCACGGGATAAATTATTTGGAGTGTGTGCGTCTCTGTCTACTCGGCCAATTAAAAATTAAATTCTTTGTTCGTCAAACCAAATGGATGAGCAAAGAAAATAGCTATCTAATCGATACTGAATAGAGGTTTTTCTAATACCTTTTGTTTCTTCTTATTTGATGGAGTGGAAGCACGGCGGGGGCCGTCACTTCGACGGCTAGAGAAGGTCAGAACAGAGGAAGAACAATGGCGTGCGGAAGGGAAGGTTGTTCTGCTGCAGGGTCGGCACACTGAGAAGACATTCTTTTGGGAGCATGGGAATCTGATCGAAATGTGTAGCGATGTTGAAGCAGCCATACACGCCAATTTCCTGCTTCCTACCGACTGCAACTGAGAAATGTTTAATGGGGGTTTGCGAGGTTACTTTTAGAGCGGTTCAAGTTTAGGTATAGACAAAAAACGGATCTAATCGGACCATTAGGTCTACACAAAACCAGGACCGAATGAATTTGGAGTCAATTTTCGGTCTCAAAAATGTAGGTGTTTGGGTTTTGATCCAGTTCGGTCCAAATTCAAAATAATTTAGGTTTGAACCGATTGGATCGAATGAACCTATAACCCAATTGGATCTAAAAGATTTTTTTTGAAGGATGGATCTAAAAGATTTAAATACTAAAAGTCTACTTTTTATGTTCCGTATTATACTTTGATACTCTATTTCAATAGATATCATAATTTATTTATTTAAAACAGTTTTTTATTAAGTAATTTCAGAAAATATTTAAAAGAAAAGTTTTACATTATTTTTTATGATTTCTCTTAGAAGTAGTCCATGTGTATCTATTTTAGGTTGTCTATTTTATTATTTTTTTCTATTTGCACACTACAAAATAAAAAGCCTAAAAATATATTTAATTTATCAAAATAATTAAAATATTTTATTCAGTCCAATCAGTCTTGACCAGTTTGGTCCTAAGAATTTGGGTCTAGCCTGGTTAAAAAACTAAGAAATCACCCCAAATAAGAATAAATATAGCATTCATCCTCAAAATAAGAGTTCCATATTTTTTCCTCAAAATAGGAGTTTGCATTGTGAAATTATGACACTATATGGTGGCATCTCACTATATTTTTTAGTACTATAATTGGCATTATTAGCATTGTACGCGTACTTTAAAAATAAAAATATGAAGATCTTATTTTGGTATTTTCTCCATATTTTACTTCTAGTTAATCATTTTTTAAAAGAAATTATAAGTTAATATTCCGTCTTAACAACAACAATGCTCAGTGGCGGAGCTAGAGAACACTTCTTGGGAGGGCAAAAATTCATTCAATAAATAAACAAATTCGGAATAGTAACTACTTTAATTGGCAAAGTGAAGTAAACATACCTTCGATATGTGCAAAGTGCAACTAAACATACCTTCTATTGGCAAATTCTTTTTTTGTCGATTAACAAATTTATTCATCTCACGTCTCAAAATTTTTTGATTCAAAAAGGAAAGTAACAAAATAAAATATCAATGACAACAATTTCATATATTTAATCTCAAGAATTTAAAATTACATTAACATTTATCAAAAATTTAAATATGCACAAACACACTAGAACCATGGAACAAAATAAATATTCAAAATTCAAAACATAATTTAGTAATATTCAAAACTGTCAAATATTAAGAAACAAATTTTGAAATTGGATAATTTAAATTGAAATATAATACCTAAATAATGAGAGAAGATATGACGATTAGATGAAGAAGCACAAAAAAGAGCTCAAAAATGGAATCTGTCTTCGCCCTTCAGCCTTCTAGTACGATCCCTCAGCCAGCCGCCCAGCCTCTTCTGGTTTCGTGACTCCCGAATAGTCCTGGAGTTAGTGGAGTGTTGCAGCAACCGAATAATGCTGGAGTTAGTGGAGGCCTTCTAAGTCCTGACATAATTGTTTCCTCCGTTTCTTTTGGGCAATTGGATACTGGGCCGTAGAGTGTTGGGCTGGTCAAAGGATTATTTTTAAACCCAAAACAAAACGACGTCGTTTTGTGTTCTTTTTTCTTCGGCAATTGCTTCTCCCATTCT